TTTCCTGGTTCCATCTTGTCTCCTCAGAGTTCGTTGTCTGTAGGAAGTGACATCGACTTGACGGACACGCCCACCCCAGTGTTTCCTCTACGAAGGTCTTCGGACGCCAATCAGGAGGCGGCGGGGCTGGAGGTAAGGCAGACTCCTCCCTCCCTGTGTGTCCAGGTGTTGATGTCCAGCTGTGCTCACTCTGACCCCTCCCTCCCTGTGTGTCCAGGTGTTGATGTCCAGCTGCTCTCTGTGTCGCAGCTGTAACTCGTTGGTTTATGACGAGGAGATCATGGCGGGCTGGACGTCTGACGACTCCAACCTGAACTCGTCGTGTCCATTCTGCGGCGCCACCTTCGTCCCGTTCCTGAACGCTGAGATCTGCGACCTCGGGCCAGTCAGCAGGTCGTTCACACCCTTCATCCTCCGTTAGGAAAAAGAGGCGCTCGTCCAAAACAGTCCCTCCGTGTTAACACTTCCTGTTTGTCCTCAGTTCGGAGCGCAGCACCTGGAACGTGGAGGAGGAGGTGGAGAGCTCCGTGAGGCCCCCCAGTGGTCACGAGTCCTCCCTGCGTCTTCAGTGTAACGGTCTGAGTGAGGAATCGAGCTCTGAGACCAGCAGCTACTCGGAGAACAGCAGAACCACCACGGTAACGTTTTGAAAAGTTGTCTGGCTCACTTCACAAACCCCGCCCCATGCCTCCCCTGATGGCCTCTCCCTCCCTCCCCCAGGCTTCGTCAGCGGGTGGGGGTCCTCAGGTGACGGTGGCGTACCTGAGCCCTCTGGTTCTGAGGAAAGAGCTGGAGAGTCTGCTGGAGAACGAGGGCGAGGCGGTGCTCGCTCAGCCTCAGTTCCTCGACAGTCACTCCATCATCTTCTGGAACCTGGTCTGGTATTTCCAGCGCCTCGGCCTCCCCTGTAACCTGCTGCAGCTCGTCAGAGCCTCGCCGCTCGTCAGCAGCTTCACACAGGTACGGCACAGAGGACGATGAGAACTGTGTAGAAACACTTGGTTTGTAGTTGATTTCTCTGAGATACACCAGTGGTTATTGTCAATATGCTGCCGACAGCCACCAGGGGGCGATCCATCGTTATCTACAGTCACAAACTCCCTTTTTATGTTGACGCGCCGGTGACACCCAGTGGCTGGAGGCATCACATGTCTCTATGACGTTTAAGTTTTAAGATGCTTCGACTCTGCTTCAGATTCGACTCGAGCCACGGAAACAGAAGCTGCTGGTCACGGTTTAGTCTCGGGCAGAGATGTCTGGAAAAGATGACGGAGACACTCACAACCTCTTTCCTGTCACAATATCGTCTTTCCTAATTCGTCAGGCTCCTGTCACATGACCTCCTCCTCCTCCTGACCCTGTGTCTCTGCTGACCCCTGATCAGTTACATGTTTTACATTGTGTGATAAAACTGCTACAGAGTCAAAACCTCTCAGTTTGAAAGTTGTTTCTCTGATGGTGTGTGATGTGTTTTCCAGTCGGACAGCTCGGCAGTGAGTGTGAGGCTCCTGTGGGACACCCTGACCCCTGACACAGACCAGTGGCCCCCCCTCTACATCCTCTGGAGGATCCACAGTAAGACAAAGACACCACGTACATTGACAGATTCAGTGAAACTGGTTTTCTGGAGATAATTATCTGGATTTATGTGAACAGCTGCAGGAACGTTTCGCTCACGTGTCTGAAACGTCAGCTCATGACAGGACACCATCATCTGCTGCTCTGTTCGCTCCTTCCTCCAGGTGGCGTCCAGATGAGAAGCTACAGCTGGCGGAGACACAACCACCCGTTCACCCTGTCCTTCCTGGAGGAGGTGCTGCGCTGGGTCGGCATGAACGAGGTGCACAAAGCCGTCACGCTCTTCCTGGACACGATGGCTAAACAGCCGGCGTCCCCCAGAATACAGAGGTGAACTTTACACTTTATTCTGCAAACAGAGTAAAAATACAGAAGATTAGGAAAGAAAGTTAGATCTGAAACTCCAGGTGACGTCTTTAGAAACAGGAAGTGATTCTGAGAGAATAAAAGTTGATTTAAAAGTGTTTCTTGGTGATAGAACGTTTATTTGTGCGTCAGAGTGAATGTTGTGTTTGTGTCAAACAGGAGTTTGTACAGAGAGTTCCTCTTCCTCACGCTGGCAGCTATGGGCAAAGATCACGTCGGTAAGTCTGAAGACGAGATGATTCATTTAGAACACGTGACACAGACAGAATAAAAACAACATATGTACACACATGTGACTTTCTCTCCCTGTCTCTCCCTGTCTCTCCCTGTCTCTCTCTCGCTGCAGCGGCGTTCGATAAGAAGTACAAGGTGGCGTACTCGCGGCTCAGCAGCACCCTCGGCCGCGAGGAGCTCAGAAAGAAGCGAGCGCAGCCGCTTAGCCCCAAAGCCGTCGACTGCAGACGCAGCTTCCACCCGCCTCTCGAATGCTGATCGACCCCAGAACGCAACATCCCGTTCTGACGACTCCCGCTGCGTACGAGCCTGCGAAGGGGAAACCTGTACACCCAGGATCCCCGCTGCCTGCTTCTGCTTGTGTTCCCCACCTCTCTGCTGCCCCCTGGTGGATGTCAGAGGGTGGCGTTGCTCCCTCCTGTCCTCTGTACCTCTGTTTGTGAATCCAGCTGCTCTTTGTCTCGAGTAACGATGGCCTCGGCTGAACGAGCAGCAGACGGAGCTGAGCTCAACTGACTAGAGGAGCGAGCGTCACGTGTTCGATGCTCGAGGTCGTGCATGTCCAGAAACATCAGCTGTGTCGGTGTAAACTTGTCTTCCTCTTGTTTTAAAATACACAAGCAGACGACAAAGGTTTCTGCAGGAGCTCGTCTCTGCTGTATGCTGGGAATCTTCTGAGGACAGAGGGGGGGTTGTTTTGAAAAAGAGTCCAATAAGGATTAAAGGGACAGTTCCAACACTTTAAACTTTACATTTCTCCCAAATAACAAACTGTGAGAACATTTCAGTCCGATCGTTCAGCTTCTCATAACAAACAGGATCCAAAACGAAATCCTCCCATTCAACCTTTGACCCTTAGAACAGGTCCGTACCCGACAGAGAACTGATAAGAACTGAATCATTGGCTCCGGTTCTTCAGTTAAAGTTTTCTGAGTCGGATCCAGACCGTTGTCCTCTCTTCGCATCGTCGGAAGAACTAAAGTAAATTCTCTGGTCGTCAGTTTTGTGGCGAGAGCTTTGTTCGTTAGATTCGTCGGAGCAGAACCTCGTCTGTGTTCAACGTCATTGAGAAGTTTAAAATAGGTTCTTGTTCGTTTGATGTGAGAAACGTAAAAAAGAGGAAAAACACGAGACTCACGTTTCTGCATCGACTGCTGATCTGTCTAATGATGTAAAATCTGTACAATAACAAAATGTAGATAAAGTTATTTATGACCTAATGAAACTCAGTTTGTGCAGTAACGTGAATCTGACACTTTTTTACATCGTCCAGATGTTTTCAGCTTCCACGCGGAGAAAAGTATTATTTAT